CTCTCTCTCTCTCTCTCTCTCTCTCTCTCTCTCTCTCTCTCTCTCTCCCCTATCATTCTCCCTTAATTCTGGTCAAGAAACAGACCTTCAAAGTTCTAAATTTGTGATATTCATTTCCCCTAAAAGCATCCAGAACTCTGCTCCTAATCATTGCTTCATAAAATTACTCTTTGAAAGTGGGCCCAGGTAACTTAACTTTGGAGATGTTCTCATTCCATTGACTAACAGGACGATGTAGAGTGACATATTTATGACAACTCTCACTGCGTCAGGACATTTGGAAATTAAAATTGTACTGGTCTTTGGTAACCAGTCATTCAGCTAATGCCTGTATTCTGTTACTGATTCTTTTTCTTATCTAGGGATGCCACATTTTCCCCCCTTAACCCTCTCTCTTTTTTTCACTGGATTAGGAAAAAATAAGAGGATCAGAAGAATTCCAAGTGGGAGAGGAGATTGGTGGCAGCAATGTGAATGTTCTGAGAGCTCAGAAATCAAACAATGCCTTGGGAAAGGCTCTGGGGTTCACCCAGTTAAGAGGTCTTAACACCCCAGTGATTCTTACAGTTCTTTTTTCTTCCCTACTTGATCTTCATTACTCTCCTTATCACCTCCCAATCTATGTCCCTCTAAATCTGTCATGTCCCCCTGCTTCCTTCTATCACGTCTCCTCTATCTTCTCCCCCATTTTCCCCCTTACCTCCTTCAACACCACCTCTATTCTGAACCTTTCTTCCTCTATCTCAAATGAGATAGCATATATAAAGTACTTCACAGACTAAAATGCTATCTAAATGCTTTATTGTTGTTGTTCAGTCCACTATAACTCTCAATTCTCTGTGATCCCATTTCAGGTTTTCTTGGCAAAGATACAGGAATGGTTTGCCATTTCTTTCTCCAGCTCATTTTACAGATGAACAAACTGAGGCAAACAAAATTAAGTGACTTGCTCAGGGTCACGCAGCTAGTGTCTGAGGCCAGATTTGAGCTCAAGGAAATGACACCAGGCTCCGTGCTCTATCCACCTCACCACCTAGCATATAATGCTATGACAACTCCTACTTTCTCTCCCTACCTCCCACGTGTCGGAATCTCAGAGTTACAGGACACCTCAAATACCATCTAGTCCACTTTGGACATCGGAAGTCATTTCCTCTACAATAGAATTGACAAGTTATCAGCCCAGCCTCCCTCTGAAGACCTCTGGCAATAGAAGACTCCCTACACATAGAGACGGTCTAGGGAGTTCCATTCACGGACAGTTCGAATTCTTAAGAAGCTGCTCCAATTCGTCGAGCCAACACCTCTGAGGCTCGGACCATTGCTCCTCTGGACCTCTGCTCTGGGGCCAAGCAGAATAAATCAAATTGTCTTTATCCTTCCCGATCCCATCCCCAAGTCCCCACTTCACTTCCAATCCCATCCCCCCATCTCTCCCCGATCCCCTCCCCCACCGAAGGTTACTTGGTATCTACTTAGGACACAGTCACGTCTCCGCTTAGGAACAAAAATTCCTTTAGCGCAGGTAGTATCCCTCCGGTCTTTTTCATTCTCAAGCCTGGCACGAGTTAATTTTGCCCAGCGCCCCATAGTAGGCAGTTAAGAAATGCCGTGGGCTCCCCTTTCATCCGTCTTCTTGCTCCTTCTTTCCCCCTTTCCCTTCCTTCTGTGCCTTGCTCGTCCCTCTCCTCCTCCCCGGTCCCCACACATTCACGCGAGGCTCTATCTGCTCTGTTCTACCCCGTCTCCCGACTCCCCCAACCCCGCCCAGCCCCGGCCCCTCTCTCTCCCGGGACCCTTGGTCTTGCCCCACATCCTCGGGTCTAGGCACGTCCTCTTTTGCTCTCCCGGTCTCCCGGCCCCAGGGTGGGCGGGGTCTCGGTGCTGGCAGTCCCGCCTGGAGAGGGCGGGACCGTGTCCCAATTTGCACTTTCGGGGGCGGGCAGGGCCAGGCGCTCCGGGGTCAAGGGGTCAGCTGGACCCTGGGCACCTGAGGAGGAAGAAACATAGGGATAGGGAGCCCCATGCAGAAAGTGACCATGAGTCAAGGCAAGTCCGAGGGGACAGTCACAGGGAACAAGAAAAGGCGAGGCTGCTAGACCTATGCAGAGACACAGAGACCAGGAGAGACGGAGGCAGAGACCACCGAGATTCAAAGAAAGAGAAAGACTAGGAGAGGCACCAGAGACCGAGAGCTCAGAGACAGAGACAGAGAGACAGACACCAGGGAGCTCAGAGACAGAGACGAAGAGAGACAGACACCAGGGAGCTCAGAGACAGAG